TTAATTAACTTTAGGTACCCATACTTGCTTGGGTCCTTTACTGTTAGTGATTTTAGGTAACCAAACCCACCTAGATCTTATTGAATTAAGATGGGGCGATTTGTAACCATTTGAGACACGATAATCATAACTCACTTTTGAAAACATTTTTGGCGCCGGGTTTTGAAAAACATTTTTATATTTTGGCACCTGGGAAGAGGATTGTTGTTTTGGTCTATAAAAAGCATTACATCTATTACACAACCAATCCTTTTGAGTGGGATAAAATCTCCCAACTCTATTTCTAGAAAAGCTTCCCTCTTTTCTATGAAATCTTTTTGCACTTGACTCTTTGGCATATCTTTGCTTGATGAATTTTTGTTGCTTAGCCGTACTGTAGAATTGTTTCGGCCTTTCAACATTCAAATTTGCTTTTGTTTGATAGCCAAGTCCTTGTCTCATCGTGCAATTCTTACTTTTAACAAATTTTATCACTTGAACTTTATTATTTAAAGTAGTAGTAGAATTAGTCAGATTTTGAGGGGTTTAAGAACATGTGGAGTCATAACCGATTCCGGTTCTATCTCTTGATGGCTTTTGCATGCTCACCATTTTATCTATTATTTTAGACGAATTAGTGAACGTAGCAATGGTTGCCCGAAGGTTATGTTCTCTAACCTCTCTTGCTTTACACTCTTCTTGAAGATGAATATTTTCATTCTTCAATTTAGTCACTTCAAGTAAAGCATCTTGTAATTTTTTATTCATTTCTTCTTTTTCAAGAATTAGAATATTATTGCGCTCCTTGAGTTGAGGGTGAGTGAGCATAATCTCTTGACATTCTTGCATTAGATTGTCAATAGATTCACGAGAAAAAGAAGAATTAACAGAATTGAAAGAATTAGATGTTACCTCTTCTTCCTCTGCTTCAAGAGCCATAAGACAATCTTCACTTGTACTCAACTCAATTGACTTGCATATTAGCGCCGTATCATCATCCGAACATGAACTTTCATCGCTTGATGATGAATCCTCCGAATCATCATTTTCATTTGGTTCGTTGCTAACGAGAGCTTTTCTTTTGTCGCGCTTGAACCTTTTGCTTTCGGATTTGTTTGGCGTAGATTCAACATTTTTGTCTTGATACTTGCTAACGATCGGATACGGACAATTTATTTTAAAATGTCCGGGTTTGCGGCAATTGTAGCATAAATTGTTGTTTTCTTCGACTTTTTCTTCTTGTGGGGTGCGAGTGACGAATTTTCCACGAGCAGAATTTTTGTTGTCTCCTTTTCGCATAAACCATCTAAACTTTTTGACAAAAAGAGCAAATTGTTCGTCAGTCATAAAATCAACATTATTTTCTACTGACCTGGAGGTTGACGGTTGTTCGGCCATTAGAGCAGAATTTCGAGCTTCATGAACATCATCATCTTTGGCCTTCATTTCGAACTCATATGGTTTTAGATCACTAAATAATTTGTCTGTAGACAACATTCTTAGATCTCGGTGATCGCGCATAGCCGTAACCTTCATATCCCATGCAGATGGTAAGCCTCGTAGGATTTTGAGATTAATTTCTTTTTGGCTAATATTTTTGCCAAGATCACTAATCTCTCCAAGAACATTGATCATTCGAGCTTCCATGTCTGCAACACTTTCATTTGAGAACATTTTGAAATCTTCAAACTTCTTCATAGCGATTGTGAGCTTATTGTCTTTTTCTTGTTCATCTCCTTCGCCAATCTTGATGAGAGTTTCCCATATTTCTTTGGCAGTAGCACACTTTCGGATCTTCGGAAATATTGTATCATCAACGGCTTTGAATAGAATATCCTTGGCAATATTGTCAAGATTATTCCGCGTTCTATCATCCGATGTCCATTCCGGTTTTGGCTTTTGTACATACTGTGGAGCATCCGGGAATATAACAAACGCCGTATTGATTTTTAATATTTCTATAGGACCAGTGGAAATAACTTCCCACATTTCATCGTGTAAAGCCGATAAGTGTACCTGCATACGAACTTTCCAATCATCAAATTTATCAAGTGAGAATAATAGATTTGGAGCTAAATCTTTCTTCATCATCATCACGAGAGATATGAAAGATTAATCCAATTCACACACTTTGTAGAATGGATCAACCTAGCAGTCAAAAACAGTTAACCCAGTTGGGCAACGTGTTTTAATACCAAAGGTTGGAATAATCTAACTCAAATAGGCTACAGGCTATGATACCAATTGTTGGTCCCAAAAGAGGTAAGGTGAAAGTCTAGAGAAGGGGGGGGGGGGGGTGAATAGACTTTCAAACTTTTTCGCACAGCACAACAATTGCTAAGCCAGAGATAAACCAAAACTCTTAACTAGATTGTTAGAGTATGGTGCATAGCGGAAATAAATAAAGATAAAGTGTGTGTGAGATTGTGTGAGCAGTATATATCGTGTAGAGCAATTATGTAAAGAGCAGTAAGTAAAGAAAGCAGTAAAGAACACAAAACAATTATAGTGGTTCGCGAGGTGGTGTAATCCTCCTACTCCACTTGCTCTTATCTCCAACAGCAATTCACTATATCTACCACTCCTTGGTTCCAAGATACAATGAATTTCCGTGATCTAGTGCTTTGATCACAAAGCCCGCACTAATCACGCCCAGTGACACCACACTGCTGCTTCCGGTTTCACGTCGCCGCACTACTATCCCAGGATTTCACGACTCCGCGTTACTTTCCCCCGTCTTCCACACTCCGGTAGAAACGTATCTCGTAATCTAGTGCTTTCATCACAAAGCCCGCACTAATCACGCCAGTGCCTCCGACACTGCTGCTTCGGATCTCACAGCTCCGTGTGACAATCCAGGATTTCACAGCTCCGTGCTACTTTCCTCCCTTCTCTTGTTTTGCTCCAAAACAAGTGTTGTCTTGCTTCCAACTTCTGAGACACTGTAGTTGATCTTCAATGATGCGCGGGTCTCTTTGATGAAGATAAACACTCTGGAATGATTTCTCTTGATAGCTCTGAGTGTTTTCTCTCTTTGAATATATCAAGTAAAGCACTTGATATTTTTGCTCTGTTTTGCTCTGTTTAAGAACTCTCAGAATATTTTTCTCTTGAAGTTCTCTGAGTTCTTTTTCTTTTCTCACTTCTCACTTGAAGATTTTTGGTATGCTCTGTACCAAATGAGATTTTTGCTCTATGTATTTTTTTTTTTTTTTTTTTGCTTTCTGCTCTATGCTCGTATTCTCTGCTCTATGCTCTTCACCGTATTCTTCAAGTCTTCAAATCTTCATCATTTTATAGCTGGTAATGAGAATCTGTCCGTTGGAAAGAGACGCTCTCATTTTTGAAATCTTGAATCTTTTTGTCAGAGATCTTATCTTATCTTCTGCAAAGATGTCAGAAAAGATAAGCTAGCCGTTTGAGAGCTTGAACTTCATGCGAATGGTTTCTCAAACTTCATCTGACATTCCTCTGGTTTTACGTTGAGTGGAAATATCTGGGTGTAGAACGGCTTCTCTGATTAGCTCTGAAGTGGTCCTTGTATCTTTGGGATTTAAAAATATTCTTCAATTTAATCTCATACTAGTTAAACTAGTATTTTTCATATTTTTCCTTGTGAGAATATTTTACTGTAAGTTCATCTTCACGTCTGGGTATTGACTTAATTATGTTGACCTTGACTAAGAAATTGGCTCCCAGACTTCTCCTGGTATTGAAGGATTCCTCTGAAACTAGCTCCCAATTTCATTGCTATGAAATCAGCTCCCAAGTGAGAATTAGATTTGGCTTCTCAAATTTTACCTTGTAAAGGTACATGGTGAGATTCAAACTTGAGCTATTTTGGCTAACATATCAAGCATCATCCACTTCGTCCATACGATTATTGATTAAATCTCCAATCTTCTTTGATGTACTCCTTTCTTTCCATAGATGCTTGATCTCCAAGTCAAATTCATGCAATCTTCCAAACTTAATTTTCTTTCACGAAAATTCTTCTGGGATATTTCTTTGAGTAGCATTGACGTGAATATTGTATCATTCATCTTCTTCTTCAATTTGTCATTTTCTCCAGACAAATTCCTGATTTTAGGCTTTATATCTTCTTATTCTATTTTCATGCATCTTCGTCTGTTTTTCATTTTTCCAATTTAAATAATTTCTCGATCATGGTCTAAGACTCTACTAGACCTAAGAAATAAAATTGGGAGATCTACAAATACATATTTGGCATATCAAAACCATTACACTTTATTCCTAACACAGTATCGTGTTACATAATTAAAAATGTCACACAGTACCGTGTTACATAATTAAAAATGCAATGTCAAAATGGTAACATATTTAAACACTAAATGTAACTAATGTACATCTATTAGAAAAATAATGTACCTTAAATACACAAATAATTAAAACTGGACAAATATTTTTAGAAGCTTTTAATTATAAGAAATAATACATGAATTAAAATTGTGAATACACTAATCATGGTCCACACGTTACATAATTTAAAATGCAATGTAAAAATAGTAACATATTTAAACACTAAATGTAACTAATGTACATTTATTAGAAAAATAATGTACCTTAAATAAACAAATAATTAAAACTGGGCAAATATTTTTATAAGCTTTTAATTATAAGAAATAATACATGAATTAAAATCGTGAATACATTAACCATGGTCCACACAGTACCGTGTTACATAATTAAAAATGCAATGTAAAAATGGTAACATATTTAAACACTAAATGTAACTAATGTACATTTATTAGAACAATAATGTACATTAAATACACAAATAATTAAAACACTAAATCTGAATTCATCAGCACCTTAGGTTAAAATATTTTAATTATTTTTGAATGCATCAGCCCATATGTCCAAGAATTCATTTTCTAATTTCAGGCAAAGCCCAACCTTCACCTATGTAATCTAGCCCAAACCCGGCCCACTATTCACATTCTTCAGTATACGGATCAGTTCTTCGGTGCCTCCTATTGCCACACCACTCTCAGCTAGCATTCTTACAGACACATCCTAATCTTATCTCTAACACTATCCTAAACAATCTCCAGTTCCGAAGTCAGATTTCCTCATCTCACAACACACTCTTGAGCTCTTTAATTTAGCCAAGATGAGGATGTGTCTGTAAGGTCTTCATGACCTTTAACATCCGATGAGGCTGGATTTTTGAAACCCTAGCTGAGATGCGCAAATCCTAGGTGGTCTTTTACTTCGCCAATCTTCGTTTTCACTCGAAGATCTTGGTTTTGAGTGCCCGATCTTCGTTTGTTACTCGAAGATCTTTGTTTATAGTGGCTGGTCTTCGTTTTCTCTCGTCTATCTTCGTTTTTAGTGGCCGATCTTCATTTTTACTCGAAGATTTGGGTTTTGATTAGTCGATCTTCGTTTTCACTGGTAATTTGAAGGCTCTAACGTTGAGTGATGATCTAGATTTTGCTTACTACCCTCTTTCACGCCATTGGCTCTCAGATAAGTAAACTACCCAGTTTTTTTTATTTATTTAGATTGGCATTTTAATCTATTATTATATCCTATCGTATACTATATATTCTTGAATCTGATTTTCATTCTTATTTATACATTTAGCATATCTGTATGCCTCCGTACAGTGTTCATCACTGTAGATAGACATTCAAGGCAGGTTTCGTGCAATCTTCTCTAAGATAAGTGAAATACAAAAAAAAAAAAAAAAAAAAAAAAAAAAAAAAAAAAATCTCTAAATTCGTATTTTAGCATAGTCTACAAATTTGTATCTCTTTTTGGCTATTACATTATTTTTTTTCCGAAGGGAGTAGTTAGGGTTTAAACTAAATTCACTAATCTTAACTTTCAGGGGTGCATTGTTCATATTTCTTTCTATAAGAGAAAGATGGGAAGCTTAGCATGCATCAATAATGGTAAATAGCCTTCCGATTTGTGGTAGGAATAGCTATAGATTTGTGCAGCAGAACAGAATGTGTGCAGTGAAGTAAAAGCATCGCAAGGTAAACTTAAAATTAAATTTTATATAGTGTAGACACTACCTTTGTTGTCAATTATCTACTTCCTTTTGCTCCCTATTATTGTAGAAGAAATAATTTTTCTCATGTGGTATGTTGTTTTGTATGTTGCAATTCTGATTTGTGATTGTAGTTGGAGTATGTATATTTGCTATAACTTGAGTGCTTTATTGGCTGATTATCATTAATGTTTTGGCATAACCTAAAATGATTTTGACTCTTCAGTTTTTTTTTTTTTTTTTTTTTTGGAAAACCACAATGCAATATACTATTACTGTAATTGAATACACATGTTCCCCCTTATATTTTTGCACTTCTTCTTTTTACACATGTACTAACACTGTTGTAAAGCCTTTGGTAAATGATGAATCTTTATTTCTGATGCCATTATTGTACACAGCAGTTTAATACATGTTAGATGATGGCCTGCTAATTGTGATGCCAGATTCTTAGTTCTTTAAGACTACCTTCCACATTTTAAAAACTCACAGTTTAAATTTGTTCTTTCTATTGAATCCAAACTGATACATATGTGAACTGGTTTATTTATTTGTCAGTTTTTATGTTTCAGTAGATTATATACTCTGTACTGGCAGATGATGATATGCTAATCCTGATGCCAAATTCACGGATTTACTCTTGAACTGTTTACTTGTGAGTTTTGTCATTAGCAGTAGATTATATGTTTCTATTTGAAGTGTGATTTGTAATGTGATTTCAGCAGTGTTAGTCCTCTATTGTATACTTTTTGGAGAAAATGACATGAACTTTTATTTTGTAATGTGAAAACAGCTATTTGTATTTTGTAATGTGAAAACAACAATGTTACTCCTCTATGTCAAATAAGAATGTGTTGTGATTGTACCCATTTTTAAAATGTTGCTTAATACAACCAAAATTTTTTTCCCCATTTTTAAGTACTATATTGTATTTAGTAAGGTTTAAATTTGAGGTATGAAAATTTGAATTACATTTTATTTTTTCCAAGCAAGTTGATGTTGACAATTTTTTTACTTGTTTGTATACTATACTTATACTATGTCAAATCTCATATAGTATATAGTTATACTATGTACTTATATTTTCTCTGTTTATTTAAAGGATTAGACTTTTTTTTTCCAAGTAAGTTGATGTTGACTATTTTTTTTTATACTATATACTTATACTATGGTTATTCTTATATAGTCTATAGTTATACTATTTACTTATATAGTTAATGTTTATTTAAATCTGAATGTGTTACTATTGTCTGAGGTTAATACTATGCTATTGTATGTTTTTAGTTACTTAAAGATAAATACATACTTTTATGAATTTCAAATTAGGGAGACCTAAATACACAGTATTATGATTTTCAACACTAACTTTGTTTAAACTAAATTTTGAGCAATCCAATACTTTTTTATTTTCTTTAATTTGTTTTGATTGCTGGTTTAGGGTTTAATTGAGTTAGGTATAAAATTGACTATCTACTTTTCAATTGACCAAGTCAGTTTTAATTTTTAAGTACTGTTCATTTAAAAGTGTGTAATATAGGACTATATACTTATACTCTGATCAATTCAATTATTTTGGTTAGAATTTTATCCTTAAAGTTTAATTACATTTTAACTTGACCAAGTCTATATCTAAATTAAAGTAATGTTGATGTTGATTTAAAGGTCTAGAATGTAGGACTATCTATAAAGTGAATGTATATTTGATTACTTTCAATTTTAGTTTTTTTAATTACAGCATTGGTTTGTTTGATTGATTATCTATGAAGTGTTACTGTTTTACTATTGTGAGATGTTATTCTTTTTTGGTAGTTTGCTAATGATGATATTTAAACTGTGTGAGTTTTAAAGTAAAATAGCAGTCTGTATACAGTGTAAATACTGAGTTTTATTACTATATAATTTAAAATATAGACTTAGTACTTGAATACACATTTAGCAGATGGCTATAATTAAATCAGTTTAAACCATTGTGTGGTACACTGGTTGACTGTGTTTGCTTCCTTAACTGATTGCGATTGTGTTTGCTTCCTTCTATGATTGTTTGCTTCCTTCCTTCCTTCTTGTCCTGCATACATTTTCATATATCTAACAATATAAACTAATAAACTGATATTTATGAATGTTTATAAAAAGAAATCATAGGTAAATAACAAAGGCAAAGAGTCTCATCATAGATTGAAACAAACTGAAATTGTTCAGCACAAACATTGAGAAATTGAGCAGAGCAAGCGATTAGTTTAAAAAGATAAAAACCACACTAATGTGGTAATAATCTGTAGTATCCTAGTCTTAAAGTTTTTCCTGTTTAACAACAACAGTTTTTCCCTTCTTGCTAGAGGAGGAGAATTGGTCCAAAAGCGATATCTTCACACCATTAGAATCTTCAGGTTCATTGTCTAGACTTTGAGACTGTTGTATACTTAATGGGTTGTTGACCTCATTGTCTCTATTAGAAGTTTCCTGTATATTAAAATAAGGTTTAGTCCAAAACATGTCAAACATAGGATTAAAAATGTAAATATTTATTTTACTTTAGTAACAATAACAACCTGATCAGATTCCTCCTCTTCCTCCTCGTCCTCATCTATCATTTTTGTCATCAAGTCCTTGTCTTGGTCTTCAATCAGTTTAGAACAGTAGGCTGACACTAAGACTTCATCCCTTAGAACTCTCATAACAGTGTAGGTTGAATTAGCTCCCTTCATGAACTCCATTTTAATGATATCTTAAATACCATTCTCATACCAACTAAGGATTTCAATTCATTTGGAATGTCAGAAACCTAAAATACAGAAAATAGCATACTTTTAAAAAAGACAACTACTAAAAGAGTTCATATGTATGTGTTAAATTTTATAGTAATGTAACTTTACCTTATTATACTTCGTGTACAAACCGTGTGCTGGGATACCCATTAATTCAGAACACTCCCTATCCCATAAAAGGAAGGGAGCATCTCCTAGACCTTTATCTAGAACAATAACTTTGACCCGATACCTTGTCATGCCTTCTTTATACTTCTTATCACAAGTTGTACAAATCAGATCACCTGATTGTTCATAAAGCTTTCCGTTACATCCTGGTGACATGCAAGAGATGTACATCCATCCAAAAGAACCTTCAATGGCCACAATTTCAGCAGGTACATAGAACTCCCCATTCTGCCATACAGAATGTAGCTTGGTTACTCTGTCTTATGTAATCTAGCTTATTAAATCTATAATCAGTTTTGTGGACTGTATTCATGGTTTTTATAAGTATAAAGTCTAACCTGCTTCTTTTTCAACAGATCACCTACCGTAGTTACAGTCAAAGCACCACTGGTGAAGTCATCAATTCCTGTTGATTGAGACAGCACTATTGCAATATTGATACTGCGTAAAGGGCTGTTTGAAGCAGTTAACCTACAGGTAAAATTAAGAATAAGTTGTATAAATATCTGATACAATAGTTTAGAAAATGTAGAGTGTAGATAAAAAATAAATTTCAGGCACTTACTGAGACCTAAAATCAGCAAATTCCTAGTAAGATGCATTCAAATGAAGTTGGGTAGCATCATAGCAGCTAGTAATTCTGATTTCACCTATTAGCATGATAGATGTTAATGAACACTAGAAAACCTAGAAATAATGTAAAAGAATAATCTATCATTATAACTTACCATTGACCACTTTTGCCCGACAAAGCTGAAGAACCAAAATTAGTGGTTCTTTAAGACCAGAATCATAGTATGGTAGCATGGCACCAACATGACTATCCCACACAGTGCACTGTAAGGTATTTCCCCTATAGGCAAGTGTGTTAGAAAGAATATAATCATTAGAAATATAGGAACATAGTTGTTAGTACGAAACTTACTCATTATCAGCAATTTTAAAGTCTAGAAGTTTGGCTGGTCTGCCTCATATGATTTTGTCAACAGTAGCATGGATCTCGACAACTCTGCCTATTAAATCTGTATCAACACAAATTAATTGAATAGTAGATCAAATACAAAAATAGTTGAATGAAAAATAGCAAAAATAAGAACAAAATACTTACCAAACAACACCTTGTCATTGACTTGAGTAGGGTCTTTCAAAGAGTCATAGGTTTTTAGCTGAAACATCTTATTAGGAAAACCTTTGGATTTGATTGCCTTTACCTGAGTCTTATAGTTTAGCCTAATCATATATTTGTGATCACAAGTTTTGTACATATAATAGTGGGTGAACACCAAAATTTTTTTTACTGAATAGAGCTTCCCTTCAATGAAAACATTTTTGTATTTTTTGACATCATTGTTTTGCATGTTCAAATGTATGAAAGTTCCATGCACATAAGATTAGTGAAATAGATAAAACATGTGTAGAGCATAAATCTGTGTAAAGCCTAAAGCTTAAACAGTAAACTAAAATATTAAACAGTGAACTAAAATACCTCTTTATCCCAGGCCAACAATTCTCGACTCTTGATCTTTGTAGATCTTCTCTTTTCAGCTATTTCGTAGCATCTAACACACTTGACTCTTATTGCTTTCTCCCTATCGAGAGGGCCAATGTCTTTTACAGCAACATACATTGGCATGGTTTAGTTGCTGATATTTTGGTTCTCTTTTTTCTAATTGGCAGGTGATACGAACTGCAGATATGGTGAAGTTGGGAGGGGATTTCTCCATCGACAGAGGCTTATATAGAATGTAAAACTATGGATTTCAAAATCTTGAATGTTATCTTGGAAGTATGAATGGTGCTGTCGACCTTTCAGTTTCCAAGACCATGTTGAGCAGACATTTAAATCAGTTTGAGAAATATGTTTTCGAAGCAGTGCACGACAATATGAACACTGTGTTTAGAAGTCTGTAATTATTAGAAGTCTATTTAAATTGATTTATTTTGCTTGGTATTACCAAAAAGTAGCCGGCACAATTAAATTCCACGAGTAAAGCTTTGTTTAGCACCATTTATTTAAGATCTTTTTTTGTGGACATAAAGTGACTTCATTTTAATTGGGCGGGAGTTTGGTTTAGGCAGAAACTTAGTGCTTTATTATAATGATAGATTATTATTATTATTATTATTATTATTATTATTATTATTATTATTATTATTATTATGAAATATATGTATACCTTTTAGGTCATTTTACATGTTAATCTAAATAGTAAGTTTGCCAAATATCTTTTTATCAACTACTGATATAATTCGCTGGTCAAATCCGCTAATATGCTAACTGATAACATGATCCGCTAACTACTGATTGTCAAACAAGGACATTGTGAGGTAGTTTCCCACTGCAATTTGTTGTGTGATTTGAATACCCTTTTTGTCAACAAATCTCCTGAGTAGTTAATATGATTGGCTTAATTATATTTTTTCATGGTATTTATAAAATACTTGGTAAATAAATATATAGCATTATTTTTGTATTATAACTTTGATATTTAATTAAAAAATAGTGTACAAAAAATAATAATAGACAATGTAGTGAATATAATCAATTGATGAATTTGAATATAAAGAATTTTTACATTGGAGAAAAATAAAGACAATATTGTTGACTCAAAGTATTTTGTCAAAGTTATGTGCAAAAAGAATTCCAGTTCTATAAAGGAATATCAGCACTAAGAGGAATAGTTATTGAAGAATACTAGTTCTAAGGGGATTTGTTGTTGAAGATTTTCTAGTTCTATTTTGATTAGGAATAGTTTGTTATTCACGAATCTGTTAGGAATAGCTACTATAAATAGGGGATGTCCTTTATTGTAGATCTCAGGCATTCAACATTAATCTTGTGAGGTACGAGAGTCTTTGAGAATAGGATACTAAATTCCCCTAGAAAGTAGTACATGTGTTTAGGTTTCAATAGTTTGGTAGGAAAGATCATTCTATTGTGTAATCTCAGGTTCCAAACAGTGTACTTTAAATATTGAGCTTTTAGTGGATTTAGGCAAGTTCTCAAATTGAGAAGTGCCTCGCAGATTAGGGTTGTTTGCCCGAACTGCATTACAGATTGTTTGTGTTACAACTTCAGTTTCGGTGCTGCGCTTTATAAATTTTCAAATATAACTAATGAATTATTTCTCTTAATTAATTTATTGCTAATGAATAATTTTTTTGAATAAAGACATTGTAGGGACAATGTAGTGAATATAATCAGTTGATGAATTTGAATGTAAAGAATTTTTATATTGGTGAAAAATAAAGACAATATAACTAATGAAATTATTTCTCTTAGTTAATTTATTGGTAATGAATAATTTTTTTTTGAATAAAGGCATTGTAGACACATAATTCTAAATTAAAGAAATGCGTACGTATTATTTTTTGTTGTAGCTACTAAATTATTATTTAATTTAATAAGAGTAAAATAGATTACTAATTATGCCAACTTTGATTGGGATGGGGTTCGAGCCTAAAATCTTTCTTATTGAAATCAATGAGTAAGTTAACGGAGAATATAATTTTTAAGAGAATTTTTTAATAAGACTGTATTCTTCTATTTTTATTTTGAATACTATTGACTCTATTGGGATGGGGTTCGAACCTAAGATCTTTCTTATTAAAATCAATGAGTAAGTTGACGGAGAATATAATTTTTAAGAGTTTTTTCATAAAACTGTATTCTTCTATTTTTATTTTGAATACTATTGACTCTATTGGGATGAGGTTCGAACCTAAGATCTTTCTTATTGAAATCAATGAGTAAGTTAACAGAGAATATGATTTTTAAGAGAATTTTTTTCATAAGACTGTATTCTTCTATTTTTATTTTGAATACTATTGACTCTATTGGGATGAGGTTCGAACCTAAGATCTTTCTTATTGAAATCAATGAGTAAGTTAACGGGGAACATAATTTTTAGGAGAATTCTTCTATTTTCATTTTGAATACTATTATTGACTTTATTGGGATGATGTTCAAACCTAAGATCTTTCTTATTGAAATGAAATCAATGACTAAGTTAACGGAAAATATAATTTTTAAGAGAGTTTTTTTTCATCTCTGCGCCCACACTGAAGTTCAAACCTGAAACCTCTCATTTGAGGGGGGGCACAGCTACTAATAGAGGATAGATAACAAAAAGGGATATTTTTGTAATTCAAGAAGGCTTAGTTTTTCTGTTGTAACCGCCATCCATATGCCATCTATATTAGTTGGCCAGCTCCTCTTCATGCAATACAAAATACACTTTTCATTCTTTCATTCCATTCTGTTTTGCTCTCTCTTCCCGCTTCTTCTTTTGAATCGCAATATGGCATCAGAGCAGCAGTGGAGGTCCTACGTCGCCGCTGCCTCCGGTGAGGCTAGTCAGGGAGGTCAGACGGGAGCTCCGGTGATCGGATCGCCGGCTCTCACAACTCCTACCTCAAATACGCAACAAGTTCCTCCTTCGCAGACACAAAGAAGCCAGGCGATGGAGGATCTGAACAATCCTCTCTATTTCAGCCCAGCTGAGAATCTGAATTCTGTGCTTGTGAGTCCTCCTCTCATAGGCAGTTCGAATTACACTTCCTGGTGTATATCCATGAAGATCGCCCTTGAGGTGAAAAATAAATGGTGCATTGTTGAAGGAAGCGTTGCAACACCTAACAGAGAGCACGCTCAGTACCAGGCATGGAGGTGCTGCAATTTGATGGTGTGCTCCTGGATCTTCAAAGCAGTGCATCCATCTATTGCTCAAAGCGTAATGCATCTAGACAAAGCAGATGAAGTGTGGGAGGATCTGAGGAGAAGGTTCGCTCAGTATGATGCTCAGAGAATTTCTGCCCTCCAGAATGAGATCTACGGCTTGAAACAGAACTCCATGACAGTCAGTGAGTACTACACGAAATGCCGGACAATGTGGGAGGAGATGAACACATTGAGACCTCTTCCGGTTTGCAAATGCGATCCACGTTGTTCCTGCAATCTCATCGAACAAATCTGAAAGGAACGTGATGTTAATCAAGTCATCCGCTTCCTGCAAGGTTTAAACAATGAGTATGGAAGCTTGAAATCTAATATCCTAGTTCTGGATCCCTTACCAGAGGTATACAAGATTTATGTCATGGATGAAAAATTGGAGAGGCAAATCAATGCAGTAAGCCTGAACACAATGGACTTCAGTCAGGCGAATGCAGTTCAGAGTCCTCAAACATCCACAGATGATTTAGTTGCAACAGTAAACACATATAATGCCAGGAAGTTCACCAGTAATGGAAGTGGTAACAAGCCAAAGTGTATCTTCTGTGGAATGAATGGGCACACCATAGACAAATGCTACAAAAAGCATGGCTACCCCTAGGGTGGGTGCAAGGCTATAAATCTAAGGCTAAGCAACAAAATACTACATCTACTGTGAGTGGTACCTCTGAGTTTGGAGTCACAACTGATCAGTTTCAAAAGCTTATGATGGCCATTCAAAACCAGCTAGGCCAATCTGGTTCAAGCACTGCAGCTGTTGTGACTCTGGTTCCAAAATTTGATGAGAATCATGAAGGCAAGTCTCTCATTTCTCACATTAATTTCCTATCATTATGCAACTACTCTTGGATATTAGATTCTGGTGCTACAGATCACATTGCCTACTCTATTGACTCTTTTGATGAATATTATGCTGTTGAGCGAGATGAGGTCAGTCTGCCTAATGGGAAAAGAATTGCTGTTAAGCATAGAGGAAATGTGAGACTAGGCTGAGATCTATGGCTAAAGGATGTTATGCATATCCCAACCTTTCACTTCAATTTAAAGATGATGATGAAACCTTTGCAGTATGAAATTAGTTCTAAAACCATTGTTTTGCAGTGTAATAGAGTTGATGTTTGGCATCAACGTCTAGGGCATTTCACTATGAATAAACTACATCTTCTCAAAGATGTTCCAAAATTTTCCACTTCAACCAAAGCTTGTGATATTTGTCATTTGGCCAAACACAAACGATCCCCATTCCCTCTAAGTACTTCATCATCTATTGCTTGCTTTGATTTAATACATGCTAATATATGGGGGCCTTTTCCCGTTGCATCCATGAAAGGAAAAAAGTATTTCTTAACACTACTTGATGATCATTCAAGGTACACTTGGTTGCATTTGATGAAAAGGAAATCAGAAACATAGGAGTTGATAAAAAGGTTTCACAACCTTGTTTCCACACAGTTTGGAGCATTAATCAAAGTGATTCGAAGTGATAATGGAAATGAATTTGACATGAAGGATTTTTATGCAAGCAAGGGAATCATTCATCAAAGATCATGTGTAAATACACCCCAACAAAATGTAGTAGTGGAAAGGAAGCATCAACATGTGCTTAACGTGGCAAGATCACTCCGGTTTCAAGCTAATTTACCCCTAGATTTCTGGGGTCACTGTGTCATGCATGCCGCCTACTTGATTAACCGTCTCCCTTCACAAGTACTCGACGGATCCAGCCCTTATTACAGACTGCATGGTCAAGAACCAAACCTTGCCACACTCAGAGTTTTTGGATGCCTTTGTTTTGCATCTACACTGCCTCACACAAGAAACAAAATGGAGCCCAGGGGTCGAAAATGCATTTTTATAGGGATGCCTGCCAACATCAAAGGGTATATTCTCTATGATCTTCTTGATAAATCGGTGTTCATATCTCATGATATTGTATTTTATGAGCTGCAATTCCCTCTTTCTGAGCATATTACAAGCCATGATGAATTGTTTAACCCCCCTCTGCCCAACATCCATGCTTCTATGACGATGGATTATGTAGATGAAGTCAGAAGTGACAACCTACTATCTAGAAATGCTGAGCAGAACACACATATCTCAAATGAGATATCCACCAGCCAGCCGCATCTATTGTCTGCTACCAGTGACAACCTACTGTCTGCTCCCAGTAGCATGCAAAATGATGCTCAGCCACTTGATGATGTATATGATAGTCAATCCACTGAGGAAGATAATGTGATCGAAGAGGCAGTGAACCATGCTTCTCCTCGACGATCGAGCAGGAATAGACACTTGCCTGCCAAGCTGCGTGATTACTACTGTGACTCGGTAGTAAGACAGAGAGCTTCCCCTCATATCTTGTCCAAGGTCATCTCCTACGACAATCTATCGCCTTCACACAAAGCTCTCACTATGGCTGTTACATCCATAACCGAACCTCGAACGTACAACCAAGCGATCAAAATGGATTGTTGGAAGGATGCCATGCAAGCTGAGATCATGGCTCTCCAGGCAAACAATACTTGGCAAGTTACAGATCTACCTACAGACAAGATTCCCATCGGTTGTAAGTGGGTATACAAGGTCAAGCTTAGGGCAGACGGTTCAGTGGAATGCTACAAATCCATATTAGTGGTTAAGGGCTATACACAACAACCGGGAATCGACTACACAGAGACGTTCTCCCCCGTAGCTAGATTAACCACTATCCGATCTTTCCTAGCAGTGGCTGTTTCCAAAGGCTGGCATATCCATCAAATGGACATCAATAATGCCTTTCTTCATGGTGATCTTGACGAAGAAGTATACATGCTCCTACCCCCAGGCTTCCAAACAGCTAAACCCAATCAAGTGTGCAAACTCACGCGATCTCTTTATGGCCTGAAGCAAGCAAGCAGGCAATGGAATGCCAAATTAACTACTGCCCTCTTAAGTGCCGGTTTTAAGCAATCAAGTGTTGATCCATCTCTATTTACAAAGGGCAGTGCTGACAGACTCATTATATTGCTTGTTTACGTTGATGATATCATTGTGGCAAGTAGCAATATGATCTTAATATAGGAACTCAAGGACATGCTCGATACTAATTTCAAGATCAAAGATCTAGGAGTTCTAGGATGTTTTCTTGGCATTGAGGCAAAGCTGAATGATGATGGTTTAAATCTTTGCCAGAGGAAGTATGCTCTCGACATTCTCAGTGATGCTGGCTTCATAGAATGTAAACCTGCCACCACACCGATGGTTCCAGGCTCTCATCTATCACGTGAAGTTGGCAAGCCTTTGGAGGATCCAAGTGGCTATCGTAGGTTGGTTGGAAGGCTCCTGTATTTGACAACAACCAGACCTGATATCGCATATGCCATTCATCATCTCAGTCAGTTTGTGAGCAACCCTACGGACATGCACATGGTTGCTGCGCATCGTGTGCTCCGATATATAAAAGGAACTCTTGGACAAGGACTGTTTTATCCTACAAACAACACACTTAGCCTTAAAGCCTTTTCGGACTCGGACTGGGCGTCATGCCCTGAAACTCGCAGATCATTCACGGGGTTTTGTATTTTTCTTGGGGAATCTTTAGTCTCATAGCGTTCGAAGAAGCAAGCTACGATTTCAAAGTCATCTACCGAAGCAGAATACCGTGCATTAGCCTCCACTGCATGCGAATTACAATGGATCAAATTCCTTCTCCAGGACCTTCATGTTGAGGTAACTGATCCTGCTATTATCTTTTGCGATAACAAATCCGCTATTGCAATCTTTGAGAACTACGTCTTTCACTAAAGAACTAAGCACATCGAAATTGATTGCCATGTGGTAAGGGAAAGAGTTGCTCAAGGCTTGATCAAACTGCTTCCAGTTTCATCACTCAATCAGATTGCAGATGGCATGACTAAACCTCTAGCTACTCAGATGTTTGCTACGTTTGTATCTAAGCTGGGAGTCTAGAATCTCCACTCTCCAGCTTACCGGGGGGGGGGGGAGGGGGGGAGGGGGGGTAATAGAGGATAGATAACAAAATGGGATATTTTTGTAATTCAAGAAGGCTTAGTTTTTCTGTTATAACCGCCATCCATATGCCATCTATATTAGTTGGCCAGCTCCTCTTCATGCAATACGAAATACACTTTTCATTCTTTCATTCCATTCTGTTTTGCTCTCTCTTCCTGCTGTATTCTTCTATTTTATTACAACAATTCAGAAACTTTTTCTTCATCTTCTTACAATATTGTTTAGACATTTGTAAAACAAAGATGTACACATTATTGTTTACCAAAATAAGATTCCTTCCATTATCAAGGATAAAGAAAAACAAACAAATTAAACAAGCCAAGGCAAAGCAATTCAAGACATTGACGCAAAGCAATATAATCTTTTAGTACATTCCTAGTCATCATAGTCATTGTCAATGTCTAGAAACACACAACAATCCTTGACAGATTTCTTATTCTTTCAACAGATCAGAATTAAAACCACACTCAATTAACCAATCAAGACATTTAAAAGATCGAGTTGTGAACATAAATTCAGGAAGAAGAGAAGTTGTGCAAGAAATTCAAAATGTGAGTGTTGATTTCATGAGGCTTTTCTTCATTGATGAAATGGCCAACACCTTCCAACACAACCACTTCCTCTAACAAGGGCACATCTCTCTTTAGGCCACCCTTGTGTATATACTCCTTGGCGCCAGGGGCATTGTAAGTAATGTCCAAATCACCCACAATGAACTTCACTGGTACCATCACCTTTGCTCCAGTCCAGGCTGCAGTCAACTCCCAATTCAGATCTAGTGCTCTATAATAATTAATTCCACCGGTGAAACCTGTCTTCTCAAACATGGAAGTGTAGTAATCAACATCATTTTCAGAGAACCATGAGGGCAAATCTTGGGTTGAGGTTTCAAATGGTTTGCCTTTCGGTAGGTAAAGTGGACTGGGATTGTGGCATGTTAAGAAACATTGAAGGACTTTCTTAGTGCCAAGTACAGCAAACTCACCCTCTATTTCTCCACCCTCCTGGAACAACATTATTACATACATACAACAAACAAAATTCAAAAGGGCCCATTGTTTATAGAACACAAAGATTAACATTTAAAAAAAAAAAAAACAATTTCAGATGAGTTCAGGAGAAGTTTAAAACATTAGGTGCGTTATTGGTGGTTAAGGTGAGAGATTTTCCTTCTTAAGGTGCGTGGTTTTTCTTCTTAAGGTGCGTGATTTGTATGCCTAAGGTGCATGAATTGTTGAAACTTAAGGTGCGCCATTTTAAAACCTTAGGTACGTGGTTTGTTATATTAAGGTGTGTGGTTTGTGTTCTTAAAGTGTGTGATTTGCGTACTTAATTAAGGTGCGTCGGCTTAAAAGTCTTAAGTGTGCGTGGTTTGTGTACTTAAGGTGTGTCACTTTAATGCTTTAAGGTGCGTCGACCGCACAACCACACGGGAAGCCTATACTCGCACATGAGCCCTTCCCTATATATATATATATATATATATATATATATATATATATATATATATATATATATATATTCTGAATGTTAAAATAAGCTATTTTTTACTACTAAATTAAATATTTCTCTTTTTAATTTTAAAATATGTCACATTTTGTCTTAATGAATAGTAAAAATAACACATTTTAAATAAAACGAACATTAAATGAACACAACATTCAACGGATAAAATATGAAATTAACCCTTAACTATATTGTCTGCACTGGTTTATATTAGTGGTCATGCATGTAGTATGAACAACTTCAAATAATTCAAACAAATATATAGATAATTTATCATTTGTCTAAAATCTAAAAATATAGTAAGTCTCAATGCAAGTTATATCATATCCCTAATGTATGCCCAATCCATATTTTTAGTATTGACCTTTTGTACATTGTGTTTTTAGAGTTGTACTATACAATTTTTTGGATAAAAATATCTCTACCATTATTATAACTCCCGTTATCTTTTCTGTTATTGTTACTATGCACATGCATCCATCATATCTTTTATTATATTCTTTAAGGGTAATAATATATTTAGACATTGTATATTGGAGTACTATAATAAATAAATTTGATTTCATCTAGAATTTGAGTAGGAAGGATTTGTTAGTTATTTTTTAAAATATAAATATCAAATTTTAAAAATGATTACATTAATAATAATAATAATAATAATAATAATAATAATAATAATAATAATAATAATAATAATAATAATAATAATAATAATAATAATAATGTATTATTATTATTATTATTATTATTATTATTATTATTATTATTATTATTATTATTATCTAAAATCTAAATAAAAAAAACTTCTAAGAGTGAACTAGGGTTATTACTCATGATTTGTGTCTATATTTCTATAATTATATTATTGAGTTGTATATTGCGCTACAAATATTATACATTAATTAAAGTTATCAATTAAATACAACATGTTTCTTGGAACAATTAAATATTCTTTGGTAATTAGAGTTACATTTGCACCAAACATCACAAGTTCATAACTCATTAAATGTCTAACTTACCTTTTTTGGTAATCGACATCTTACCTGGAAAACACATTATAACCTTCCTTCCTTTGTTCTTATTTCCTTTAAAACATTAGTGTTTTCTTAATAATTGTAAATTTAATTCTTTTTGTGTTTAATCATACTATTAATGCAGTCTCGATCTAAATATAAAAGTTTTATTGATGGAGAGAGTATTTTATTTTCAGACAATGCATTCTTGAATTTAATTTTCTGTATTATAGGTAGTAAAAAAAAAAAGTGAATCATTTTTAATAATCAAGAATATAATCAGATCGGGTTTCCCTCGTTAAAAAAAAAATATATATATATATATATATATATATATATATATATATATATATATATATATATATATATATATATATATATATAATCAGATCTGACAAAGTGTAAATTTGAAAATCCAATGTGTAAAGAAAAAAAAATAAAAAAAAAAAAGAACCAAATTTTGTTGAACTTTGAGTTTTGTTGGTTGATTGATTGACAGAAGCTTGGATTTAATGAGAAGATTTATGTTGTTGATCTGAAGAAAGGGGAGGTTAAGGAAGGTTAGGGTTTATAATTTGACCGTAGTTTCGATCTGATTTTGTGAACTTGAAATTATTGAATATTTCGGGTCTGGAAGTTGATGGAATCTTTGGATGGATTTAGGGAAATATGAGGATGGGAAGCCTGATGCAACCTTTTCCTTTACTGATGATGATTTTCTGAAAATTGCTATGGGGAAGATGAACCCCCAAATTGCTTTTATGAGGTGCGGGTTTTTTCCTATATTTTGACATTTACTAGTTTTTTTATACTAATACTAAAACATATATTACATATATATATATACATACAAATATTATATATGGGGTGGGGTGGGGAAAGGGTGAGGGGGGGAAGCTGCCCCCCTTGCCCCCCCTTTGGCTCCGTCCCTGAGCACATGGTATACTTGTAACTTGTAGCTTGTCTATGAGAAAAGAAAATCTAGGACCAATGCTTTGGTAAATATGTCTGCAAGTTGATCTTTTGTTGAGATGAAGTTAACTTGAATTTCTTCCACAGCAACTCTATCTCGCACAAAGTGATAATCTATCTCTACATGTTTGGTGCGAGCATGAAAGATGTGATTGACACACATATATGTAGCTCCTAGGGGTGTTAGTGAACAGAGCTTTCGGTAAACTACTCGTGTTCCGTGTTCGGTAAGCGTTCGTTTATGTTCATTTATTAAGGTAAACGAACATTAACAAACAAAATTTAGAGCTCGGTTTATAAACAAACGGATGCTGAACAGTTGTAAGTTCGTTTGCTAAGAGATCGTGAACAAGTTCGATTGTGTTCGTTTAATAATGTTCGCGAGCAAGCTCGTTTGTGTTCGTTTAATATTTGTTTGTATTCTCTTTGTAGTTGTGTTACTTGTTTGGTTATTTTTCATAAACATATATTATTTTTTGTTCACGAACGTGTTTATGAACGTGAATGAACATGTTCACAAATATTAATGAACATGTTCATGAACGTGCTTGTTAACAAACATGTTCGTGAACATGTTCGTTAATGTTAACGAACATGTTCGTGAACGTGTTCGTTAATATATATTAACAAACACGTTCGTGACGTATTCATGAACGTTAACAAACACTAATGAATGCTTAACAAACGAACACAAACAGAATTTTCAAAAACCTAAAGAAACGAACACGAACACGAACACTCCGAAAACCTTAACAAACGAACACGAACAACCTTCATTCATTTATGTTCGATTCATTAACAGCTCTAGTAGTTCCAAGATTATCACATCATAATTTAGGAACTATAATATATGCATCAATTTGTATTCACTGAAGGTGACACTATTTGAAGAGTGCATGTGCATGCACCTAGGATTAGAGAATGAAGTGAGAGTGTAGCTTAGCTAACCCTGCTGCACTATTGCCAATTGGATTAGAATGCAATTTATATCCCCATTCCCAACTTGTTTATATGTTTGAAAAACAAGGTTTTGACTGAACTCGATATCAACTTGATTGCTTATAATTTTAGTTTTTGTTAGCAAATAAACTTAAGATATTTAGAATTTATATTAAAAGTTGTATCAAAATGAAAAATAGAATTTAAAATTATAAAAGAAAGAAAAAGTTAAATAAAGAAGAACCATTTTTTTAATCAAAAAGTAAACTAGATAAATAAAATGTGACAGAGGAGTGTACTTTTTTCCTTTTAAAGAAATATTGCATTATCTGGCCGGATTAATATTTTAGAAAAGGAGGCGCTGAATGTTGGTCCTGATTGGTGTAGTGTCATCTCCATGAACTGGCGAATAAAAGAAGAATTTCAGTTGCTGGAGCTTCCAAGTTGTTGGCAAACATTCTATATTCTTACCGCGGAATATAATGGGCTTGTCTGTTGGAACTATGATTGCTGGCTGGGATGAAACGGTATGATAAATGAACGCAAATTATATTGGGCACCGCGGTGCATGATCGATCATGCACCGCGCATCAAAACGACGTCGTTTTGTTTAATGAAAAAAAACAGAATCTTCACAAAAAATAACTCTGTTCTTCAGTTTCATTTTGAGTTAATACCCAAAATCGTCCTTGACTATAGTGGTTTTTCTCAATTTCGTCCTAAACGACTTTGGTGACCTAATATCGTCCCAGACTTTTGTGTTTCGCTCAATTTAGTCCTCCATTTGTTATTCCGTCAAATTAGTGTTAAATAAAGGGACAATTCAGTAATGTCAATATTAATCTCTCTTTACTTTCAACTTGTGAAGTGCGAAATTCATGTTTCTTGTACGAATTACACCCAGAATTACCCCTGGACCTGCAAATCAAAATTTATATTCGCAGTTTTAGGAGTAATTCTGGGAGTAATTCGTAAAAAAAAAAGGATTTCGCAGTTCACATGTCTATGAGTAAAGAGATGCCATATTAAAATTACTGAATTGTCTATTTATTTAACACCAAATGGACAGAATAACAAATGAGGGACTAAATTGAGCAAAAACACAAAAGTCTGGGACTAAATTGAACGAAACACAAAAGTCTAGGACGATATTAGGTCACCAAAGTCGTTTAGGACGAAATTGAGAAAAACCACTATAGTCGAGGACGATTTTGGGTATTAACTCGTTTCATTTTGTATACACTGCAGTTTCAGTTCAACACAACTACAGTTTCATTTCGATATATATAACTACAGTTTCATTCAATATTTATACACTCAAATATGTGAAAATGTTATTTAATTTTATTTTATATACAATATAGTTTCATTAAAACACAACTACATGATCATTTCAATATAATTACAGTTTCATTATACAATATACACTCAAATATGTGAAATGTTATTCAATTTCATTTTATATATACAGTAGTTTCATTTCACCACAACTACAATATCATTTTGCTATAACTGCAGTTTCATTTGATAATATAAAAATAATACGTGAGACAGTGTCGGTATAAACACACTGTATATCACTCTGTTATAACTACAGAAACGGCGCCGTTTTAACGCACGGTGCATAATCGTTTAATAAATGAACCAAAATTCCTATTCTGATCTAAAAATTATTGCATGATGATGGGTGTAGGGTCCAGCACTCTATTACGTGGATAGTGAAGGTGGGCGTCTAAAGGGAAACAGATTCTTTGTGGGATCGGATCTGGTCTCCATATGCTTATGGAGTTCTTGATAATGGGTATGTTACGTTGTTTTCCCACTCTTCTAGCTAGGATTATTATTATTGTTTACACCTTTTTTTCTTGTTCAGCTGTAGCATTAATGATTTCTTAAGTGATAGTCTAGTTTTCTGCTGTTATAATATAATAAATTACTCTACAATATTAAAGGTGTGTTTGGTTCGCACATAGGAATCGGAATTGGAATGGATATCAAATACTTGATAATGGTAATGGATTTTGGTAAAAATATTAAACATGTTTGGTAGTAGGATGGAATAAGAATGGTTAGTAATAGTAGTGCTTGCGAATAAATAAGGGAATGAAATCCTTATTTTATTTGGATATGGATTTTTCAATTGATGGGGTATTCGAAACCCATAATAGTGTTCTAAAAACGTATCAACCAAATGACAACAATCACTTTCATAGTCATTCCTATGGGCAAAACCCACCAACCAAACACACCCTAACTCTTCCAAATCTTTTTGCTTGAAACTTCTAGACAACGTTTTTCCTTCTAGTAATTTTTCCATTTCTTATTCTCTTCCTTTTATTGGTGTCACTGCTTTATGATTCTCCCCCCAGATGATGATGTTGGAGAGCTTCACTACCATTAACCCGCCCTGCGAATTGAATGTTGCCATATCTTCCAAAGGCGTCTACAGCACCATCTCAATGGCCATCCTCGCAGGCTCCAACGCATCGCCGGTATCATGCTTAGATTTCTTGGTGTTTCGTTTAAGTAGATCTTGATCCTCGACTGAACGTTGAGAAGAGAGCATTTTTTAAAATATAATTTCATAAATTAAAATTGGTATTCGATATGCATCTAAGAACAGATAAATATTTAATAACATATAAAATTTTAAATACTAAATATAACAACAATTAGGGGATATTTGGTTCATGGAAAATGTTTTCCACTTCCTTAAAGTGAAGGAAAATGTTGTTTTCTAGTGTTTGGTTATGGAAAATGAATTCCTTAAATTTGAAGAAAACAAAATCATTGGTTGGCCAAGGATTTTGTTTTCCATGAAAGATGGGAAAAAAAAGTGAATTGATTTTCTATTTTACCCTTGCTTTCTTTTTTAATTATATTACTTTTATTAATTTATAGGGGCATATAGGTCTTTATACTAATTATTCCTTACAATTCCAAATCCAACCAAACAATAAAATTGTATTCCTAGTAATTCTTTTTCCACCAACCAAACAATGAAATTCATCTTCCTAGTAATTGTTTTTCCATGAAATTCCAATTCCACTTCCCTTAAAATATTTTTCGCGAACCAAACGAGCTCTTAAAGAATTGAACAAATAGCAGCCTGCAGAGACATAGCCTTCTAAGTTGAATTCGAAATCCTCAAGTCCTAGCTATTACCTGGTGGCCTAGTAACTACTCTTTCTTAAGCGCTGGTAAATTTTCACGCATCAGTTTCTAGTGGCTTATTTCTCGGGCTAGAAATTAAAGCCTATAAATTAAATGAAAGAATTTATAGGACAGATAACCTCTGCCCCTCTCCAACTTTCCAACTGCACTTTATTCCACATCTATACCATTACATTGTCTAATAGCGCGCAAATACAAGATCAAGTCAAGTATGGGTAGTACAAACAAGACAAGAAAAGAAGGAATCTATCCACGCTCTTTTAAGTTCAGGTGCAGTTTACGAAAAAAAAAAAGCTAGAAAGGCTATAAAATTGTATTAGGCAAATTATACGCTCTTTTAAGAGCATCCACATTAGTACTGTGTGCACCATGGTCTACACAATAATTCCCCCCCTCCCCCTACTCACCTCTTAATCTTAAAAAAGAAAAAACTTTCTCTTTTGCATTTCATAATAATAAGGTAAGCATCCGGCTCTCGATCCTGAGGGGGTAGCCATGCCAATCCAAGCAAAGCAAAAGTGCACCCACTCTACCTTTCCTTCAAGAAGATCCAGATATGTAATTAGACTGCAAAAGTGCACCCACTCTACCTTTCCTTCTTTACCCTAGACTTTGTTCTTCAAGGAGACCCAGATATGTATATATTAGACTGTATTCTTCTATTTTTATATTTTGAATACTATTTACTCTATTACAATGTAGTATATGTGCCTTCACATTGAGGTTCGAACATGAGACCTCTCATTTGAAGGGCCACAGCTATGCTGCTCGATCACATGGCCTTTGGCGTATTTTTCTATTTAATTACAACAATTCAAAAACTTTTTATTCACCTTCTTACAATATTGTTTAGACATTTGTAAAGCAAAGATGTACACGTTATTTTACCAAAATAAGATTCCTTTCTTTATCAAGGATAAAGAAAAACAAAAAATTAAACAAGCCAAGGCAAAGCAATTCAAGACATTGACGCAAAGCAATATAATCTTTAGTACATTCCTTGTCATCATAGTCATTGTCAATGTCTAGAAACACACAACAATCCGTAACAAATTTCTTATTCCTTCAAAAGATCAGAATTAAAACCACACGTACTCAATTAAGCAATATAATCAAGACATTTAAAAGATGGAGTTGTGAACAGAAATTCAGGAAGAGAAGTTGTGCAAGAAATTCAAAATGTGAGTGTTGATCTCATGAGGCTTTTCTTCATGGATGAAATGTCCAACACCTTCCAACACAACCACTTCCTCTAACAAGGGCACATCTCTCTTTAGGCCACCCTTGTGTATATACTCCTTGGCGCCAGGGGCATTGTAAGTAATGTCCAGATCACCCACAATGAACTTCACTGGTACCATCACCTTTGCTCCAGTCCAGGCTGCACTCAACTCCCAATCCAGATCTAGTGCTCTATAATAATTAATTCCACCGGTGAAACCTGTCTTCTCAAACTTGGAAGTGTAGTAATCAACATCATTTTTTGACAACCATGAGGGCAAATCATCGGTTGAGCCTTCAAATAGTTTGCCTTTCTTCGGTAGGTAAAGTGGACTGGGATTGTAGTATGTTAAGAAACATTGAAGGACTTTCTTAGTACCAAGTACAGCAAACTCACCCTCTATCTCTCCACCCTCCTGGAACAACATTACATAAATACAACAAACAAGATTAAAAAGGGCCCAATTTTTATACAAGACGAAGATAAAAATGTTAAAAAAAAAAAAAAAAAACACTTTCGGATGAGTTAAAGGGAAATTTAAAATTTTCCGGGCACCTGCCAACTGAACAGAAAGCGCAATTTTATTTCCTTGTATTTGCATAGTAACCAGTGCCATATGTCAAATCTACACTGACAACATGATGATGCACTACATGCCCCTTCTGACCTTCGTCCAATAGGGTGTAATTTCTTGTTGATTTGCGTATTAACCGTGTTTTTCTACCAAAACAACACGCAATGGGACCGAATTAGAAAATAAAAGACTTAGATTGGTCCTTAAGTTCACATTTGAAGATAGGTTCTCCGCGTTCTCATATATATATATATATATATATATATATATATATATATATAGTGAATTTTAAAATCAGCTATTTTTTACTCCTAAAAGTTTATCTTTTTTAATTTTAGAATATGTCACATTTCGTCTTAATGAATACTAAAAATAACACATTCTCAGTAGTAAAAAAATCCAATTTGATAATTTTTTAACTAATAAACCAAAGATTAAATAAAAAAAAATATTCTATCTTAAAATAATAATAATAATAATAATAATAATAATAATAATAATAATAATAATAATAATAAACACAATATTCAACGGATAAAATATGAAATTAACCCTTAACTATATTGTCTGCACTAGTTTATAAGTGGTCATGCATGCATGTAGTATGAACAACTTCAAATAATTCAAACAAATAAAGAGAGAATTTATCTTTTGTCTAAAATCTAAAAATATAGTAAGTCTCAATCTAATTTATATCCCTGATGTATGTCCGTATTTTTAGTACAAACTTTTTTGTACATTGTATTTTAAGAGTTATATTATATAATTTTTTAGACAACAATACCCTTACCGTTATAGCTTTTATAGGCCCTGTTTGGTAAAATAGTTAGCCTATAGGCCAATTTTGGCTTATTTGACCACTTTAGTTGTTTGACTTGGTTAAAAAATCAATATAAATGTTTGGTTAATTAGCTTTTTATAACTCCAAAATGCTAAAATTCAAAAAACTGCTCAAAACAACTTTTTCAATTAATTTTTTAAGAAAAGAAATTATACCGAACATCTATAAGCTAATTTAGCAAACAACTATCAGCTAATATATAAGTTTTAGGGATGGAGAGAGTATTTTATTTTCAACAATGCATTCTTGAATTTTTGGTAGGGAATCTATGAAAAGCAAAACGCTTCTTATAATTTTATAATTTTCCATGTATTATAGGTAGTAAAAAAAGTGAATAATTTTTAATAATAGAAAAGAGTGTTAGATAGGTCACTAAACTTATTACTTTTTTGCAATTTAATCATTGAACTTAAAAAAGTGTGTAATCTAACTATAAAACAAATAAAATGTGCAATTAGAACATTTTTCTAATTTCTTTTAATTCAACTAGTATTTTCACTCTGCGTTGCACGGAATGGATTTGTAATAATATGTTAAGAATATATTTAGATTGATATACAATTGTGTAAATTATAACTTCGAATATTATATAATGTAATTGAATAATTGAGTTGGATCGATTATGTTGTATGATGTTATCATTAATGCTTGAATTTGAGCAAATAATTGCCAATTAATAGCCAACATGTAGATATAATGCGTATAGATGTTTTCCTTGTCCTAGGAGAGAGATCGGATGCACTGAGAAAATTTGACTCCATTACTAATTAATGAAGAGAAAGTTAAGAAATATAAGAGAAGAATTAAAAGTATATAATGGTAGAAAATGAATGAGTTCGTGATTCTTATATATTCGGTCAATACATATGAATATCAATTACCGTATACTAAAATTATTAAATATTAAATATTAAATATTAGTATTTATTAATATAATTAATTAATTAGGAATTGCGTATATAATTAAGTAACTGCCGAAAATAAATGACAAAAAAAAAGTAATTGCCGAAAATATAATAAGCTACCACAATATTGATTTCCATTCCTTTTTTTTTTTATCATAATTATTTCTTAAAATTTCAACATTCCGTTTTCTTCAAAGTTATTGACTTCCATTCATTTTTGCTTCCATCTATACGGAAATACAAAAGGGAAACCAAATATATGATTAAAAAGAGATTCAGTTTATTACGTAATACAAATTTCGTAATATATTAGTCAATATATTATTACCGTATACGCTAAATAGTAATAAAAAAAAAATTATGACCGTATACTAATATGCACTTCAAAAGAGATTTCATTTATTACGTATTGACTTAAATAATATACTATTAATTAGTATTTCAGACAAATGGTAATATAATATTATGTATTTTTGAAAAATATTCTTACCGAATACTAAATATGTATTTAAAAAGGGATTCCATTTATTACGTATTGACTTAAATAGTATATTAATAAACTCTAATATAATTAATTAATTATGAATTGCGGTATATAATTAATTAATTAATTGTCAAAAATATAATAAGCTAGACAATATTGATGTCCATTTCTTTTTCCTTCATAACTATTTCCTATGATTTCAACATTCATTTTTCCTTCAAAATTGTCTTCCATTCCTTTTTTTTTTCTTCCGTCAATATGAAAATACAAAATGGAAACCAAATATGTCCTTAAAAAGAGATTCCATTTATTACGTAATATAAATTTTGTAATATATTAGTCAATATATTCTTACCATATAGTATACGCTAAATAGTAAAAAATGTCCCAATTGTACATATTTTAATTGTTAGTTCAATGCACACTTTTTAAGTTTAATGACTCAATTGCACAAAAAATAAGAAGTTTTAGTGGTTTATTTGATACTTTCTTCTCAATAATAAAGATCATAATCAAATCTGATTTCCCTAGTTAAAAAAGAATATCATCAGATCTGATGAATTTTAAATTTGAAAATCAAATGTATAAAGCAAAAAAATTAAAGAACCAAATTTAGAATAAAAAATCAGTAGAGATACTAGGGTCCTTATTGCATGGATCATAATGTGACCACAAATAAAAAGTTAAAAATTAAAATGAATGAAGGAGATGAGATGAAAACCTGGAATCGGCAGATATAGTAGTCATCTCCATAAACGGCACGCAACGTTTCAAGTGGCTTGCTCTTTGGATTTCTTGGAGTGAAACAAACGCTCATGTTCACCAAAGCTTTCACTTTGTCAGGCCTATACAAACACAGAGCCCAAGCCATCATAGCTCCCCAGTCATGTCCCACTACGAACACCTTCTCTTCATCTGCCGCCACGACGCTTAAGAGCGCCACCAGGTCGCCCACCACGTGGAGACTCGTGAACTTGGAAGGGTCGTCGGTGGGAGCTCCGGTGGTGTCGCCGTACCCGCGGAGGTCCGGAGCCACGGCTCGGTATCCCTGCGACGCTAGGAAACACATTTGGTGGCGCCACGTGTACCAGCACTCCGGGAAACCGTGGAGGAAAAGAACCACCGGACCTTGGCCGGTTTGGGCGACGTGCATGCTTATTCCGTTCACACTTACGGAAATGTGTTCTATTCCTTCCATATCTCTCTTTCTCTCTCTCTCTCCCTCTCCGTATTCTTTCTTATCATATGGTAGATTAGATGTAATTAAGCACTTAGCTTTATAGTATGATACAGATCAGAGCATCTTTGCTTTATAGAAAATACTATATGTATTTCTAACTTCTACAGCAAATTATAAATTTGTATGAACTGCGGTCCAAAATAATGTCATGAATATTATGAGTAAAAATAATGTATATTATATGTTAGAATAATGTAGTTTATGTGTTAGAATAATGTATACTACGAATGAAACATTTGGAATAGTATAATTTACATCATGTTTTAAAATAATGTACATTATGCTTTAAAATAATGTATATTATGTTTTAGAATAATATACATTATAAGTTATAAAGCTATATGTTGCAATTAGGCCCTCGAAAAATAAAATTAAGCAAAATGATATTGTTTTTGAACCGTGGTCCACACGGAATAACTATTGAACTTTTACTTTTAGACTTAAAATTTTAATGTAAACACATTTACAGGGATCTACATAAAAAATAGTCTATAAATACTCACCACAATAAATAATAAATTTGAGAGAGTAAAATTTGAGAGTACATAAGTAGAACTCTTGTTTTATAGTGAAACGAAAGGGGTACTCCCTGTTGGAAATTTATATAGTAATGGAGATTAAAGTTTCAGATGTACTACCATTGTGACACCCCAAAAATCCACACTCCAATCCATGAATTAATTGAGTAATTAATTCTAATTCTTTTGAGGAATTGATTCCTAAAATCCTGATTTTTAATACTCAAGGACTAGTATTTGACTAGTCAATCTTTAAGTTGTGTTGTACCTTGTGCTTAGAGAGGAGTTCCCTTGTTCCTTACACTTTCTAAGGGTTAGTAAGGGTATCCTTATCTTTTCACCAAGAGTTAGTATTGTATCCTAACCTAGAAGACTTCTTCATTTCATTCCTTACAATTCCTAGAAAATATCTCTACCTTCTCTCTAGAATAGAAGTGTAGCTTATTCTCCAAGCCAAGTTGAGACCCTTATCAAGATTTCAAGTTTTGCTTCCAAGATTCAACCTTTCACCTATTTGCGCATCTAGGAGGGTAAGATCTAAGCTTGTCTAGTCTTTTTGGTTCCATCTTAGTTGTCTTTTTCTTAAAGGTAGGATCTTTATGATCTTTTGGTTTGATCTTGAAGTGGGTTTGAGAAGTGAGCCTAGTGGAGAGCTTGTTGTGGTGTATAGAGAAGTCTTTTGGTCTTCAAGAGGTAACACATGCTCTACAAAACCTATTTTGCTTACCTATATGTGATTTCTTGGATTCTACTTGTTCTTGGCCATGAAATGTGAGGGTTTTATGCATTTATCTTGTGATATTGCATATCTAGAGCTTGTGTTTAGGGTTCCTTTGTGTCATTGCTTGGCATTTTCCTTGGTTCAAGTCATTTTGTTGTGTTTGGTGAGATTTGGCATGTTTTGGACTTGAATTTGTGTTTGGAGAAGAAAATCCCCGAAGGGATTTATTGTGGAACAGGAATGTTCCCGCGGGCGGAACGGCGGGCGGGGCACCACCCGCAGCCCTACCCGTGGGTACAGGCCTCGTGGGATGGTGTTCCCGCGGGCGGGACCACGGGTGGGGCACTACCCGTGGGTCCACCCACGGGTACACGATGGTGTTTGGTTCGGGATTTGTTCCCCGTAATTCGTTGTCTCAGTATTTGATCTTTTGACTTCCCGTTGTTCTTTTGTGGAACTATTTGAGTGCCTTCTTGATGTTTCGTAGGTCTAGAACTATATAGTAGGTATTCATGTAGGACCTTGGTGTCTTGAATCGTGCTAAGTGTTCAACATTGTGTTTCGTTGGACCAAGAGGTGTCTTGTGTGTTCCTCGGAACTATCTTGAGTTTCCCCGTTGATAAGCATGCTAGTTTGTTGTCTTAATGCTAGCGTGTGTGTGGTCTGTACCTTCCGTTTGGTTGATGATAACTTGTGTTATTCATCGTTGTTGTTGATTGGGCTGTGACCCGTTCCTTGATTGAGTGTGTTTCATACCTTCATTGCAATCCGTTGATTGATTCCTGTTGAGGTGTGGCGTGTGTGGCTTTACCTGGATTGCACGATTAGTGGTATGGGACACTAGTCACCAAGGTATTGCAGCGGTCCTCGTGGTGGCCGTGACGTGATTATGGAGTTGTGGCCTGAGTGATGGGTCCACGTGATTGGGGGATAACATGTGTTATCTGGGAATGTGTTGCCGTGATTGGTGGTGGTTCGTTGGTGGTTATAGGTGGGGGACGACGGTCCCGGCGGAATAAGGTTGGACTTGGCTGTACAGGGGATCCTGGAGGTAATGGTTGGAAAGAAGATACAAGGTTAGGGGTAGCCATAAGGTTGGAATAGGGCACAAGGAAGACATACCAACTCGTGATGGGTGATGTTGCGAAGGCTTGTAAAGCCGGCGTTGTGTGATCTTCTCTCGTGACGTGTGTAGTCACGGAGGCTTGCGTTGTCTTGGCATGTGTTGTCGTTGGGTGAGTCTTTATCCTTGTGTGTGGTTAACCTTTGTGGTTTGGGATGTGTTCCCGTGTGGTCTTGAGAGTGATGAGTCTTGTGTTGACTGGTGATCTTAGCTTTTGACTTATATATATGTATTCCGTTTCGAAAATGGTTTTTATATCTTATATCTACCTATTTATGATACTTAACGGTATTGGTGGGTTACCAGCATTATTCGCTGACCGGGCGTCGTCCCAATGTTTATCTTTGTATCTTTCAGGTGATGTTTAGACGAGAGCGATGTCTAGAGCCTGGTAGTTTAGCACCTTTGTGTTTTTGTGGACTGTGTGCCAATGTTTTTAGACTGTTTTAGATTGATGTATTGGGATAGTATTATACACTTGCAGATTGTTGCCTTAGCGTTATCTAGTGTGGTATACGTGGCATAACACCCATTTTTGGATTTCTTTTATCCAGTTTCCGTTTATCTTCCGCTGTGCTAGTTTTGTTGTTAATCTGCTTGTGTTAGGGCTTCAATTAGGCCTTGTGTTTTTGGGGGGTGTTACAGTTGGTATCAGAGCCTAAGTTTTGAGCCTAGGATGAGTTAAGTCTAGACTTTCTAAGTGGTTAAGTGTGTTTTGAGACCTCTAAGCGACCTTAAGAAGCTAAGTGTTAGGCTTAGGACTCTAGGTTGCGCGGTGAGATGTGTGTTGCTTTCTGTCTTGCTTGTTTGCTCTTTTTGGTAATCTCGTTGTTGTTGTAGAAGTTTGCGATGCCTCCTCGTCCCCGCGCTCGCACCCCAGAGACCCCGACCAACGAGCAGCTCGCTTAGAATCTCCATCAGCTGACACAGACGATGCAGTCGCTCAGTGAAGCCTTGTTGAACAACAATCAAGTTGTGCCGCCTCCGCCTCCTGCTGGGCATCGCGATATAGGTCGTTTGGTGTCAGGGCATCGGTCGCCATCCTTCGCTGACGAGGAAGACCCTGTAGTCCTTGAAGAGTGGCTACGGGTGTTTGATAAGATTTTCACCGTGGTGGGCTGTCCCGAAGAGAGGAGAGTAGAACTGGCAACGTTCTACGTCTACCAAGAAGCTGATCTGTGGTGGGTTCACGAGAGTCCGACCTTCCTTGAAGAGCCTGGGTTTGATTGGACCGCGCTCAAGGACAGAATGCGCGAAAGGTTCTACCCAGCGTATGTGCGAGCCGCCATGTTTGATGAGTTCCTTCATCTGCAGCAAGGACCTCAATCTGTGGTTGAGTACCACAAGAAGTTCTTGGAGCTGGCGCGCTTCGCGAGGATGTTGGTGCCTACAGAGCTTGCTAAGGTTGAGCGTTTCGTTGCCGGTCTGAATTATGAGGCACGAAAAGCGTTGACGGTGAGTAGGCCCAGTTCCCTTAAGGATGCGTATCTGTGTGCCGCGGATCTGTTTCGCGTTCAGCAGCTTCAGAGGGGTTCGTTGGAGTTGGCCAGGAACAGAGTTGAGAGTGGAGGTTCTTCTATCTTCAAGAAGCCCCGACCGAGTTTTCCGGCTAGAGTTGTGTCGTCATCTTCTCAAGGACCTGTCAGAATGGAGCCTCAGGTTCAAGCTAAGTCGGTTGGTTGTCGTAAGTGTGGGAAAGTGCACGCGGGCCAAGATTGTTACGGCCAGGCGTTTAGGTGTTTTCGTTGTGGAGTTGCTGGTCACCGAGTCGCGGAGCGTCCCCAGCTTGCCGGTCAGAGAGCGTTGCCGCCACCCCCGAGAGCCGGAGGAGCACCAGGAGGGAGTTCAGGTCGCGGAGCCGTCAGAGCTAGGCCGTCTGGGAGGGTCTTCGTGATGGCGCGTTCGCAGGCGGAGTCGGAGGGTCTGGTGGAGGAAGAGTTAGCAGGTAACCCTTGTTTTCGAGCCTATCCTTGTTTCCCGAGAGTGCTGTGTCCTTTGTTGCCTTGAGTGCTATCTTGTGTTTCGTAGTTGTCTTTGTTTGGCAATCCTCGGCATGCTTTCCTTGTTAGTAATTCGTTGGATGCTTAGTATAGACTCTTTTCTTGCTAAGTGCTTTCTTTAGTTGGCTTCTATATCTTGTTTTGTGGTAGCCATCTATCCTTGAGTTATCTTGTGCTTAGATCAATTCTTCCACCCTTGTACTTGGTTGCTCTTGCAACAATTCCTTGTGCATTTCCTAAAATTTTTCCAAGTATTCTTTGATTTGGAAAATAGCAAATCCATACCAAAAACCTCTCCTTGTGTAGCTTAAAAGCCAAGCCTAATGTTTAATTGTAGTCTTTGAGTTTCAAACCTTAGCCTATTTCTTTTCTACCCAACCCCTAAACCACATGAGCTAATTATCTTCCTTGGAACTTACCCAATTCTAATCCCTTTTCATCCATATTTTTCCTCTTTACCCAAAATCCCCAAATTTAATCATCTTTTTCCCCAATTTCACCTAAATCCCTAAATCCCCAAAATTTTTCTCCTCTTCTCCTTTTTCCTTCTCCCTACCCGTGAACCACCCTAACCCCATCCCCAACCCGTAGCATCCCT